ACTTGTTCAACGACCTGGAGACCTTGCTTGACCGGGCCTTCCGGTGGGAGCTGGGTCTGAAGCGGAAAGCAGAATGGAAACAATACAGCTGCGTCCTCATCATTCCCGACCTATACGACAAGCGCTATGTCGAACTGCTGCTCCATCTCTGCATTGAGCTGTTCGAGTTCAGCCGTGTGTCGTTCATCCAGGAGAGTATGGCGGCTACCTTTGGCGCGGGATACACACAGGCCTGTGTCGTCGATGTTGGTGCCCAGAAGACCTCAATCGCCTGCGTGGAAGACGGTCTCTGCATAGAGGACTCGAGAATCAACCTCAAATATGGCGGCTACGATGTCACCGAAACCTTCATCAAGATGATGCTCTACGACAACTTCCCGTATCAAGAGATCAATCTCCGCCGGCGGTACGACTTCCTGCTGGCGGAAGAGCTCAAGATCAAGTACTGTACCCTGTCCCAGGCGAACATATCGGTCCAGAACTTCGACTTCCATTTGCGCGCCCCTAATCAACCGACGCGCAAGTATCAGTTCAAGTTCTACGACGAGGTCATCCTGGCCCCCATGGGCTTCTATGATCCGTCAATATTCGACAACTCCACCAAGCTCCGTGGCCGACGGAAGCTAATCGACCGCTCGTACAACGCCTACGATGTCGAACTCCCCGACGACCCAGCATCGGCCGCCCAGCTTGCCATCCTGGCGCTCATCCAGCCCTCTGTCATCGCAACCTCGGCCAGCTTCACCGGCGCCCCCGGCGAGATGTCGACGCCCAGCAAAGAACGCACCCAACCCTTCAGCTTCCTCTCCCGCAACGGCGACGCCAACGGCACGCCAGGCACCTCCAAGGCACCCTCCCCGGCCCCAGAAGGCGCCAGCACACCCATCCCACCGCCTTACATCTTCGGCTCCTCATCGCGGGACATGAACGGCAGCCCCGCCCCGGGCGGCGGCCGCAGCACGCCGGCCCCGGCAAACGGCACCTCCGTGCTCCCGGGTACCTCCTTCGACGGCCCGTCGCAGTCCCAACTGCAGCAACAACAACGCAGCGCCAAGTCCCTGGCCATCGAGCGCGACTCGGTGCTGCCGCTCGCGCCGCTCGACATCGCCATCATGACGTCGATCCAGAACGCGGCCAAGGGCGACGACAAGAAGGTGCGCGAGCTGCTGGGCAGCATCATGGTCATCGGCGGCGGCGCCAAGATCCCGCACTTCGCGCCCTTCCTGGAGGAGAGGCTCAAGCTGCGGCGGCCGGACCTGGCCGACCGCATCCTGGTCAGCCGCAGCGCGCGCGAGATGGACGAGCAGGTCGTGGTGTGGAAGGGCGCCAGCGTCTTTGCCAAGCTGCCGACCAATGACTCGTGGATTACGGGGTACGAGTACAAGATGCTGGGGGCAAGGGTGGTTTATCACAGGGTGCTTTGGCAGTATTAGCTTACCTATGTAGGTGGTTACGTAGGGTTTTGGGTATGATGGACGTATGGGGGAAACGAGGATGGCAGGGGGCAAATGGAGGGTCGGGGGAGGAGTTTATGGCGTACTTTATCAGGGTAAGGTAGCGTCGTGGTCAATACATTGGCAGCTGCTTATGGTCTTCCACCGGTTCCTAGCAATTAAACCGAGGATGCTCCTGTCCTGTTTCACTGCCGATGTCAACATATTATATATATATAAGCTGAACTTTGTGGGCCGAAACCCACAGCCTATGGCGATGCTTCACTTGGGTTACTTATGCTTCAAGAGTTCACGTATACCGCTTGTGCCGGAGATTACCGTCAGGAGGGTGGAAAGCGCGATGGAGAAAGAGAAGGACAAAACATTGACAATGGATAGGGACGGTAGGTGTTGAACTTACAGGCGGTCAGGAGAGGCAATTCAGGGATATCATGTGACTGGTAAACAGGGATATCAGGGACGGCGCGATGCGCGTCACAGTTTTGATCAGAACATCGAACATCTGCATCTCCAATCAATCACTTGCCTGCTCTGCGCCTTCAATGTGACACCGTGGATTCGTGGCTGTTGGACTTCCAACAGTAGGGAATCTGGAATTGGGTGACGAGAATGGAGAAGACAAGAAGCAAAAACAGGCCTAACTAGTCTAAGGAGAAGTATAAAGTTCAGACAGGGGAGAAGAACTGTACTATGGTATCTCACCCCTTGCGGATCCATCTTGTCAATAATAGCTCTCTTATCCTGATGTAACTCCGATTATTTTTAGCTATAGTAGAACAATATAGTTAAATAGCTAAGTAGTTATAATTATTATTGTTATTATTGTTATTATTGTTGTTGTTATAAGCTATTAGCGTCTAAGAGCCAAGGCCCGCCGTATGCCTTCTAGCAGATAGAGATATGCTGAGCGTAGTAGGTCTTATATATCACATATATGCTCAAAAGGATCGGATAAGATGCTCTCAATTTCATGCAAATTAGGAGCAAAAAAAGAAGAAAAGATGAAGAGAAGATGCCTAAAGGTCAGACAAGAGCTCAGCCACACTGGTCCATCTAGGATACCAAACATATTACTATATACATATATATCCAAGTACTAGCGGGGAATGACTTACCGGATCGATCTCCTCCTCCGCTTGGCCCTTCCCGGCCTCCTCCTCCCTGACCTCCTTCTCCGCCACCTCGACGACCTCACCCTCCTCCTCCTCCTCCTCCTCCTCCTCGGCCTTCTTGGCCGCTTCGGCCGCCTTCCGGCGGGCCACCTTCTTCTTTTGGCGGCGGCACCGCGCCTTCTCTCTCTGTACATCAATCACATTGGTTTCTCATTCTCGGAAAAGGAAAGGGGCATGGGGAACGTTACTGACCTTCTTGGCTGCAGCGGCAGCCAGCTGCTCGGCCTAATTTCGGAAGTCAGTACCCGACATATATACAGGTCCACAATGAGGCATAGCAAACTACTCACCGTCTTCTCCCTCGGCGCCGGCCGAGGTGGTGTTTTGGCGGGGGCGGCGGCGGCCGGACCCGAGATCAAGCGCTGCGGCCGCCTCCGGGGTAATGTTGCCCGGTATGTTAACGACGAAACGGGAATGAAAGCGGTTCACTAACCCGATAGGATTATTCCGCTTGGCTCTTTTGGCTTCGACTCCTCGGTACATAAGGTACTGTTGATTTTGATCTGCTATGCCAGTGTCAGACACCGCCTGGATACCCAAATGAACAACGACAACAAGAGAAGCCTTACATCTGACGAGAGAAAAAAGATTATAGGCAGCTACTACCATCGTATATCATCAGTAATAGAGTAATCACTAATTCAATCGAGGAGTAGGGACCGGGTGAGGAGAAACGTACCAGAACGTCTCGTGTTGGATCGTTGCTAAAGAAGAGAAGTTCAGCTTTGCACAGGGTTGACATTAATTTAAGTGCTTACCCTCCGTCCCTTGCGTCTGGAGTGCCTGCTCTTTCCTCGTCGCAACGCGAACGCGGAAGGAAAGAGCGAACCCCAGGGTATTCAACCCAAGGCACCAAGTTCACTAGCACCAAGGCAGTCTCATTCGGCAATTGGGACATTGGACACCCTATCCTGGCGGCTCTCAAGACTAGTACGATCTTCTAATCCCTCTCTTATTGCATTGACATGCTTCAGCGACTTCACACTGTTTTGCCAGAGCGCTCGCGGCTTTGCCTGTATGTATCATCACGCTACGACTCACGAGTCCGCCATTATGACGTTGCCCTGTGATCAAGCTTATCAATGCCATGGCGGCTCCATAACAACCATGGAGGGAAGGAGGCGGGGTAAAGTAACAGACGACAGCTATTGTTCAGTCAAAGAAACCCGAAGACGAGAGAATCTTTTCATAATATGGTCGCGGGAGCAGTTTCAGATAGCGGTTGTCAGAAGGGTATGAATGTAAGGTAGGTCGAATAGTACTATGGCGTTGATATAACTAATAAAATCTACTAAGGATCGCCCTACATCCTATGTTCTTATAGGAAGAGGCAGGCTTTATAATAACCCAAAATAATAGTACTAGTATAGTATAAGCATATCTTCTGAGACTACCTATACGGTATGGTGTTTGTCCCTGTAGGACTATGACCCCAACATCCTCCCTCAAATAGAACACATCATACATCCTCACGTCGCATTACACATTGGAATGACCTTCAATTGCTTTACTCCATTTGCTACTGAACACTCCAGTTTACTCATACAATGCATGTATGCCAAATCGCTGAAAATTTCGGTAGAAATACATGCCCGTCTATGTTGCTTAATTTCCATGCAGTACTGCCATCATCTGACATTGCATGTGCCGACCGCCGTTTCTTAACGGTAGCTCAGCTTCCTCTGCCTTGTACGAGCGCCCCTGAAAATTGTAGAATTGATGCACTTGATGTTGATGCGGGCGGTGGGCTTCCATGCGAGGAGAACAACCTGGGAAGCGGTTGACTAGAAAGGGGATATTCTAAAGGGGATTTTATCGTTCTATATCCTAAACACTGCTTGCAAGGGTTTAGCCATTCTTGCCTAGAGGAGCTACAAAGGTCTGCTCCCAGTCCAGTTGTATATACAGTAAGAGCATTGCCAGCGCTGTGGATAGATCGACCGTGCCTTTTGGATAGTTTGATCGCGGGTGTCGAACTCCTGGTAGGTGCCTTTAGTTAGCACCGACCTAGTCAGCCCGCCAAACCTCGCTGTCAGCCACCACAGACCGGCGCATCACCTTAGAGACATAGTCGCACATACAAAACAATTAACAACCTGAATATATAACTACCAAGCGCTCGTCGTTCTTTCTATATTCCTGAACTTACCCAGAGCCCTTAGGTAAATACAACTTGAAGCCGTAACCACACCCGAACTATAACCACTATCCTAACCAGTAACAGGCGTAAGGTGGCGTTGTGTATGTGGTTGGACTGGGACACCAGTCGATCTATACAAAAGACGCCGTCGATTTTATCTACGGCGCTTGCCAGGTCCCTACTGAATTCTGCGAGTGTGCACTTATAATTGAGAAGCCTAAATCTGTTTCATATGGCAAGGTGGCCGAGTGGTTAAGGCGCTAGACTTAGGCGGAGTGCCCAAAAATCTAGTGGGAAACCTCGCGAGTTCGAATCTCGTCCTTGTCACATCTCTTTTTTCCTTCTCTGTTATCCGGAGTCAATGGCAACATGCTGAACAGCACGCTTGAGGGAAAGTAAAGGCAAAGGACGCAGTGTTTGGATCGGTCGAGCTTAGTCTCGTACGCAGTACTGGGTCCCGACTTACACTACCTAGACTAAGACTAATGCCGAGACTACCTACTGGACTAAGACTGATGCTAAGTCAAAGGCAAAACAGGTGTGCAGGACTTTACTCGAGATGGGGCTTGGAGAACGCCAACAAGCGTGAGGGAGTTCTGCTCCTCCAAGGATAAAGAGGAAAATAGCACCACTGTCCACCTCGCATCTTGATGCTTTCTCAGAAGCCGGTAGAACGTTTAATATGGACGGATAGGATTTCAGAAAGTAGCTGCACTTTCAGTCCGTCGGATGGAAGAGTTTGCGACGTACCGACACACCGTGTCTTCTGAATGTTCCATATTCCAATAGAGATGCACCAGCAGATTGAACGTACAACAGGGAACGATTAGAGCCTGTCTTTTCCGACCATGGGGAACCGTTTTCGCCAGAGAGAAGGTCAAATTAAGCTTCTAGAGAGCCTACGTATAGCCGAATCACTCGAAAACGCAACCAAGTCCGAAGCCCAATAACAACCAACTAACCGCAAGCCTAAGCCACCCACCCCGACCGTTAGGCAAACCAGCACCAACCTCGTCAGTCAGCCGGCCCAGGGGAGCCACCACATATCAGACGCACTCGCGGAGAAGGGTCAAACGAGACGTTCGCGGTTCAAATGCGAATTACGAGCGAAACTTAGGGTTAAGTAGACAATAAATGGCCCCAGGAGGATGACCAGAACTTAGTCGTCATCTATCTGAATCATTAAATATAACTATTAGTTTCTGCATGTTCAAGTATTAGAAGGGGATGGCTTACTTTTACCCGCGCCCTCCCCGTCTCCTCCTCCGCCTTGAGCTTCTCCCACCGGGCTTCTCGTTCCCTGCCTCCTTTTCGGCCTCAACTTCATCCTTGGCCGCTCACTCGGCCCGGCGGACCGCGCTCTTCGTCCTGATGTACTCAAACATGATGCTCTCAAGTTCAGAGATGAAGGCTGTATCAAGCTCGCCTCCGCTGAACTACGGTCCGCCAATCGCGCGTTCGGACGGTCTAGAGTGGCTCTGATATGCACCTTCTCATTACGATACTCGATATTCAACTGCCCGCCTAAGAGTAGTGAGATACCGAAAAATCGCTCGAAGACGAAGGCGTACGGGCGCTGGGAGGATTCTCGACCCCTGAAAGAATGACCCAAATTCACATCGCAGAGCCGGAGGAGACGTCAGTATAGAAATGGATACACTAGAGCCAAATTGAAAGCTCTGGCGCACAAGGGAGTAAAGGAGTGCTGGGCGTGCTGTCAATCTGCGTCATCCGGCGACTTACCGAGCGCTCGCGCTTGAAGTTGGCCAGTCGGAGGACGTGAGAGACGTCACAGTCCGGATGTGACGCAGTCAGCGTCACGATCAGGTACGCGAATGTGCGCCGGTTCGAAGTTTGATCCAGCGACCCAAACGGCAACGACCGGCTCAGGTTGAGGCTGGCCGCCATGGACTCGCGTTGCGGCGGTGAAAGGGTCTTGCCGCATTTGAGGAGGGCGGCATGTTGCGACTCGAGTGATTGTTGAAAGCACTCACACCGAGCGTCGAAGACTCAGGCCAGTAAAGCGTCCACCCGGGGGGGGGGGGGGGGGGGGGGGGGGGGCTGTTGGTTGAGAATGTGTCACACGATATGCAAAAGTGACCATCGTAAGGACCATCTGCGATGCCAGTAGAAGCTCCAGGAACTCAGAACAATAAGCAGAGCGGTCGACCAGACAGCCAAGGAGCGCAAGAAAGGAGTAGCCACGGGCTTCGCGAGCGAGTTAGGGGATCGGGGACCGCCGAAGCAAGAGCGTATACTCGCGATGTAGCCATTCTGGTCGAGATATTTGATGTAGTTCTTGACCACTGCCTCGCGTATGTTGAGACTGTTCTTAATCGTCTGGGTCCAGATGCTATCGGCGCTAGCTTCTTCGATGATGGAGTACACCATCACCAGTCTCGTCGTTCTGCAGGGACTGGCCTGCAAAATGCAGGTAAACGGGCAGGACAGACTGACATCAGCCGGAATGCTAATGATCCGCGAGCCGCGAGTTGAGGTTGTTCACTATCAGGTTAGGCCCATGGTTCTTGGTGGGTTATTGCTTCCTCAACACATGCCGTCTTCTCCTTCAGCGGTTGCGGCGCCGGGCGAGGGGCGGCGGCCGTGGCAGTGTTGCGACGGCGGCGACGGCGTGACCCAAAACCAGAAGACAGCTTCAGGGCGTATGCCTCCTCTGGGGTTATATCGGCCTGTATACTAGACACAAAAAACGCGGGAGTGTAAGTTGTCCATCGCTATCAGGTTAGTGTTATGGCTCTTGGTGTTTTGTTGCTGTCTCGGTATAAAAGGGGGTTTGCTATGCCAGTGCCAGAAACCGCCTGAGTGTCCAAATTAACCAAGAGCAGTCAGAGAACCTACAGTCACTTTGGAACCGGGCCACGGCAATAAGCAGCGGAAGACACCGAGAGCTGCGACCCGGTTTTCGCCAAGTGTTGAGCTACCGCTTGCGAGGACTCGCTGTATCGCGCCAGCTTATTCTCTAATGATCAAAACTCCGCGATGGCTTTGTCGTATTGCCTCAGGAATGGATGCAGCCCTTCAGCATGCCCACCAAGATGTCGTCCACGTTGCATAGCCAGTTTCTGTTGTGCAGACGAAGCAGCTTGTGTTTGCGTATCGGCTGGCCGGCTGCATTGAACGAACTGAATAAGGAGTCGAGGGGTATAAAGTCGAGACAGATTAGCGTGCTTTCGTCTCCGTCAAACCATTAACTCCTCTTGATGACGTAAAAAGACACCATGTCCTGCTCCATGGCGCGCGTCACGGGGTAGGCCCGCCGCCGGCCTACCCGCGCCGGCGCGATCAGCCTGTCGTAAGTCTGCACGTCCACGAGCTACTGAATGTTTGCTTCGCCGAGCGTCGTGTTGTTGGTTATGCCCGTGCCGTGGATGAACTTGGCGGTCTCACCGACGGCCGGGTACTGGGAGTAGCCCGCAGGCATGGGAAGAGGCCGGTAAGGGCTTCGGCACTTCCTTCTCGGGCCGTGGTCGAGGTAGGGACCGGTGAGGCGCCGTCGGTCGGCATTTCGGTTGCGGAATGTTTCGTGCGGCGGGAGGTAGTGTCGCCGCTGATCCTTTGCGTTACGGGGATCGGTCTCACTGTCGATGTCTTCGCTGACCGGCGCTGTCTATCCACCGATAGATTCGCTACCGCTGATCAGGCCCTAGTCCAAGGCGTTCTCGGCTGGCTCCTAGGTAGGGTTTTGATCCCGAGGCGAATCGCCTTCCTCCGTTTCTTCGGCCTTGACTGCTTCCCTTGTATCCCGTTCCCATTCGGCTAGCGGTCCTTTCGCTTGGTTACGGGTGAACCCGAATCCATAGCCGGGCTTGCTCTGTGCCCGGGAGTTGAGATGTGAGAGTCTCAAGCTTTGGAGGCGCCTTTAGCCCGGATGGCGGATCTGAATGTTCGCGTTGCGGAAGGTTGGTATTGTCGTGGCTTGGCCGGAAGCTGATGGTACCCCGGAATCTGTTCGTCCGCCTTGACCGTCAGGAGACCAAGATGAAACGTTGAATGGTGCCCAAATGTATGGTCCGCCATTCTGTGGTCGAGTCATAAAGGCCAACCTTCGTGGGGAGTGGCAGTTAAAGCTGAACATCTGTATAATCTGGGTCAACTAACCCTGAACGATGTCGGAAAAGAAGGCCAGCTTACCTTGTCGGTGTCAAGGGGAATGTTCAGACGGAAGAGGAACTGTAACCCGGTTTCCAACTTCCACGCGGAAACCCCAGCACCTTCCACATCGGAAGCGCCCCTCCCCTGCAACGACAACATGAGATGCTTCAGCTCGCCTCCGGGATCCCGCCGGAAACAAGACCATCTCATTGCTCCGAAACCGTGCAGTTCAGGCTGTCCGTGTTGTTGGAGCTCAAGCGGCCCTAGACTATGATCCTGTGGAGGGTGCGCTGTGTGCCCTGCAACAGATGAAACGGTCAGCATCTCTTAGCTTCATTGTGCTTCGATGATCCTTACGATGCTCGTGAGTCGGAAGCTTGCCCAAGGCATGATATTCGACCCGCTGCCTAGTCAAGAAGTTGTCGTTCTTGTGCTCAAGGAAGAGGATGAAGCCACCCTCTGAGACCACAATTATTGGCCAGCTCCTGTTACCGCCCGGTGAAGGGATCAGGCCAGAGCCTTCGCCCACCACCAAGTGTTTCAGACCACTGATTAGAGATTCTCAGTTGCCAGATGATATTCACATCCTCTAGTACTCGAGAAACGCAACGGTGGCGAAAATATTGCCCAACGGGAACTGGGCCTGTATTGCAGTGACGCACCCCTTCTTCACAAGAGAAGGTGATGGCTTGCAGCAGGGACAATACCCATACCGGGCCACGTAGGCCCCTGACTTGTTGTGATAGTAATGGTACTCGTCGTAGCGGACGTGCCCACACGCTCGGCAGAACACCCTCACCTTGGTGGGTTCGCCCCACGCCGGATTGGCTTTATGGAACTTCGCCCGCCACCTGGGATTCTTACAAACCGCTTTTGTGGTTCTCGCTCTGACACTTTCCCGCTCGACCTCAGTCATCTTGCGACGAGTCGTGTCACGAGATCTCTTGGTGCGAATCCCACGTGCTGGCACAAACGAGACTTGGGCCAGCTTTGCCGCGCTCGCGCGCGCCATCAGTTGATTTCTCCGGTAGTTGCCATATGCTTTGACTTCCGGGTCGTCTGACTTCAAGCATGCAAAGATCGAAGCGATCCGAGAGGGTGAACTCCAGTGGTGAAGAGGTAGGGAGACGTTCAGGCCGTGATCCGGGATGTCCAAATCATCGGCTCCGAGACATTTCCTCATCGTCTCACGCTGGAGTGTCCGGAACATCAAA